TGTCCCAAATCCTTCAGGCCACTCCTTCCTATCACCTTTCTGCTTTGCCAGTTGGAGACTCTGAAGAGGGCAAATTTTATACCTGAAGTCCAAGGCCCCAGAATTTAAAACAAACAAACAGTCCACCACAAAAAAAAAAAAAAAGAAAAAAAAAAAGAAGAAAAAAAAAGCTTGAGAGACACAGTTTATGTAGGACAGCTAGAAGACTGACATCAGAATCGGGTATCACGCTGTGATCCAGTCAGCCCCGACACATTTCCACATAAAGTGGGCCATGGAAGCTGGAGAAGAGCCAGTACAGCAGAAAACCTTCAGGGTTATTTTGCATAGGACTATGCAAATTCTGCAAGTTGAGGACTTGAGATGAGACCTATTTGCTTACCAACTTTCACCAGCACTAAAACTCACGTAACTAACCTTAAAAGACAGTATGTTATTCTGAACAATATTGCTGAACAAGCAGTTGAGTAAAATCAATTACTTGCCCAAGGGATTTTTTAAGACATACATTTCCTTAATTCCTGTCAGATATGCAGGTCAACAAAAAGGAAGATTGATTTCTGGATAAACAGAATAACTGTGATGTTAAAATATTGTGTGAAAAGACAAATTGTGAATTAAAGCATTTTAATGCTCATTTTAGTGAAGTGATGGGAATATTCAGGAAACATTTGCAGTCAAGAAACTGTACACATCCCCATCTGCTCATCAATGGCATAATGCAACAACCTCTCCAGTCTTCATCTTCTTATCACTTACACCTTGCTGATCAGGATGCATTCCTTCTTCCCCAGCCTTATATTTGTACTGATTAATGTAACATAATGACTATGCTGTTTGCATCGGCAATGTTAGAACAAATTGACATGAGCTGGAAAAGTCAAGTCAGTCTGACTTTTTGTGACCCAGTGCTGTCATCTTATCTGCTTACTGACACATGTTGTGCCCCAAACTGGCCCTCAGCATCCGAAAAGCAAAGTAAGTTCAGAACTGTCCCTGTAGAGAATCAGGGAGGTGAAATAACAATTTTTATTTGTGTAACAGGATAATTTCTGCAGTGTCTAAGAACTTCCCAGCAGTGCCTAACATAATTTTTTTCCTCCAGGAGAGAAACTTATGCCATTCAGTGCCTTGCTTGCTAGGGATTTTTGGTCTGGTTTGTGGTAGATTTTTTTTCAGGCTTTTGTGCGGAGTAGGGAAATCGGCTATCTTTTAGGATTTGGGGTTTCTTAGTGCTTCATCAGAGGATGCATAAGAATCAGGAAAATGTCACATTGCCCATGAAAAGAGCAGTTGAGATCTGTGGTGGTGCTCGGTCCTTGGGAGAAATGGCACACAAGCTCCTTTCCCTTCAAGTTCTCTCCCACAAAACACTGACTAGGAAATCTACATTTCCAATGTCAGTCTGCCTATATCAGTACATAAAATAAAGCCAGGTATCTATTCTCTACCCTGACTGGAAGCACCATAGAACAGCAGAGCAAAGAACCAGTAAGTTACACTCAATAAGCCACGTACAATATACATGCTCAAAGCTTCATCCCTTCCCTCCTCCATTCCTTCCATAGCATTCATAAATCAAAAGGTGGGAGTTGCAACATTATTTCTTCTATGCCTTCCCATTGCTTCTTTCCAAATCCTCTCTCCTCCATGGGTAGAGCAGCTGTTATACAGAGGTGTGTGTATATAAATATACACACATACACATACATGCGTGTGTGCATACATGTACATACATACATACGCTTTCCACTGAATGAGAGGAAGAGAAGCCCCAATATGAAAGGATCATAACCCATCCACGCTTTGTGAAAGCATGGTAAATGTATCCACACTGTGGCTATGCATAGCTTTGTACTGCAAGAGTTAAATACAGTTTCCAAAACAACACAGACAGGGTTAAGGAAGACCTCACCCCTAAAGACACCAGCATCCAGCATAAATTGAAAGCATTTCCTGTGAAAGGAAAGCTGCTGAAAGGAGAGCAGGCATTATAGCAAGTATGCATGTATATACAGTATGTATACCATATGCACGCATGCATATGGCATACACATCTATGTTCTAGTTTAAACTTCTAGTAGTAAATTCTAGGAAAAAATAAATGCAGAACACCAAAGCTGCTACAGAGAGGAGCAAACAATGAATTAAATTCAATTCCTCACTGAATAGCTTATTCAGTGAAACAAAATACCACTGTGTCTACTGGCTTCTTAATTAAGTCTTAACTACTGATACCCCACTAATAACTTAAAAATTTCACTGCTGCTTTTTTCATGATGTTCATGATGTCTCTTGGGTCGAGACAATCCCAAGCACAGACACAGGCTGGGCAATGAGTGGACTGAGAACAGCCCTGCGGCGAAGGACTTGGGTGTGTTGGTGGATGATAGGATGAACATGAGCCAACAAAGGGCACCTGCAGGCCAAAAAGCCAACCGTATTCTGGGCTGCATCAAAAGAAGCGTGGCCAGCAGGTCAAGGGAGGTGATTCTGTCCCTCTACTCTGCCCTCATGAGACCCCACCTGCAGTACTGTGCCCAGCTCTGGAACTCCCAACACAAGAAAGACACGGAGCTGTTGGAGTGAATCCAGAGGAGGGCTACCAAGATGGTCAGAGGGTTGGAACACCTTTCCTATGAGGACAGGCTAAGAAAGTTGGCCTTGTTCAGCCCGGAAAAAGAGAAGGCTCTGGGGACACCTTAGAGCAGCCTTCCAGTACCTGAACGGGGCCTACAAGAAGGCTGGGGAGGGACTTTTTACAAGGGTCTGGAGTGACAGGACAAGGGGTAATCGTTGGAAGCTGCAAGAGGGCAGGTTTAGACTAGATACAAGGAAGTTCTTCACCCTGAGGGTGGCAAGACACTAGAACAGGCTGCCTAAGGAAGCTGCTGATGCCCCATCCCTGGAAGCATTCAAGACCAGGTTGGATGGAGCCTTGAGCAACCTGGTCTAGTAGGAGGTGTCCCTGCCATGGCAGGGGGGTTGGACCTAGATGATCTTTGAGGTCCCTTCCAACCCAAACCATTCTATGATGATTTTCTACCAAGATGGCAGAAAGTTACGAAAACACCAATAAAGTTTTTCCCTTTGTATTCCTGTAGTTATTTATGGGTTGTTTAACATCAGAAATGTATTCTTAAGCAGTTCCTTACTTGCACCATCATAGATTAACATAGATAATCATAGATAATGCAAGACAAGTCCAAGGACAGCATCAAGTGTCTGAAACAGGTAATGAATACTCTATCTAGACAACACATGAAGACAACACTGTTCCTCTTCTCTCAGTTCTGCCAGCTGCTACAGCTTTGGTAGTACGCTGAATACTCGTAAATGACTGCATCTCTTACGTTAAGAAAAAATGCTTTGTCTAAACAGAGAACAAACTTAAATCCTACCAACATCTATTTAAGGATTAAATTCCCCTTCTACTGATAGGTTAATGGTGAGCAAAGCCAAGGGCTATTTCACATTCTTATCTATGTGATAGATCATTAAGCTACAGATAACACTGTTCATGTGACACTCACCTGGTGTAGCTTCTGCCAAAATTCAGGTCCATCCTCCATTTTTCTTAAGCTTGGTGGAATGTACCAAAAGCAGACATTTGCATATTCTGGCTAAAAAAAGAGAACAAGTGATTGCTTATGAGATGTAACAAATGGAACAGGAATTGCTCGTGAGAAGTAGCAAATCGGACAGGAATACATATTATAGCTTGTCAAAGACTTCTGCTTTATTGGGGGGGGGAGGGGCAGGGGGGGCAAGCCTTTAGGTTTATACCCTTTTCATTAAAACTTCCTTCTCCAACTCACTTTTTCTTTCCCCTTTTTGAAATCAGAAGTAATAGTTTTCATGTAATCCATTTCTCTTCCTGCTGCCAGAAAAAGGAAACCCGTTCGGGTTCCTTTTTCATTTCTTCTTCCTACACACGTATTTAACTCTGCTTTGTTCACTAACAACTTTGGGTAGGGAAAAAGTGTAGGAGAGGCATAGAGGTGTAATTTACAGGTTTCAAAACTGAAGCAACTTTAAAGAGAAGAATACATTTTCTTTTTAGTGTTTTCTTAAATGGAAATTTCCTATGATGCATTTTACACAAAATACACAAACTCAATTTTTGTGACATTTAACACTTCCACACCTAGTCGCTTTTCTACTGACAGGGCCAATCTCGTTTTACATCGTAAATCATACAGCACTCTACACAGTGCTGGAGTTAATGCTGCCTTTCTCAATTTCCACATTTTATAAGAATCTCAGGACCCCTTGCAGGGTATGTGCCATGTCCTGAACATATCTTGTCCAATATCTAAGCAGGCCTTTTGAGCAAAGACTGAGACTCCACATCTCTGCTTCCCTACAAAGAAATTTTGCCTTTAAACTCAGCAGAGAGTAAGCGGCAAGACTCCCAATAAAAGTGGCTGTTCACCATGCATTATAAAATAAAGCATTTTGCGCTTATGAGATTTCTGTTTCATACATGATTGAGAAAATGTTCCCAGCAGACCAGTCCAGGGTCTATATTTTCTGCTAATTTGGAACAATTTTATTTCTTTTTTTAACCTGTACAGATAGCAACAGCATGAGGAATATATGTGCCTTCTTATCCCATCCAACACTACCCATAAAACCACTCAGCCAATCTTGACCTACATTATTTGCAACACAGTATTTAAATGGAGTCTAGATTATAATATGGATTATAAACTCACACACCCTTCTCCCTTCCCACACACCACCCTCATTAGTACTGGTTGAAAGAAAAAAAAAGAAAAAAAAAAAGTTAAAAGGGAGCTTGGTAGCTTGGTCACACCATCTCTTTGCCCCACTGTGAATGCAGCTGCTATTACAATCCCAGGCAGTCTCCTGAACGAGGAGAGCCCACCAGCTGGGACGCATTCTTTCATGAAAGGGCACTGAGAACTGCTCATATCATTTTCCGCCTCACTTCAAAGAATGCATTAAATACAATTTAATCATCAAGAAGAATATCATT